AGTCTAATGGGCAAATGTTTGATTTGTCTCAGTGTGTCTGTTTTAGTTGCAGTAGGATCTCTTTACTTCAAAACCCATAATTTTGATTGTGCCCCTTAGAGTCTGAAGCTACGGAGATGCTTGCTCAAGTGTACTCTGTGCTGAAAGCTGCCTTCTCTCCCCTTTGAGAGAGATGCTAATCATAGTTCTGGTGTGTAAATAGTGTTTGAAATGTAAATAGTAGCATGCAGATTAAGTGATCCTTGCACATGACTGCTTTTCACCCTAAAAGCGTTTATTATAGATCTGAAGCGTGTCCCACCGTGAGAGTTTGCTGAAGAAAAGTGGTCGGTATCTGAGGCTGTACCTGGTCCTGGAGATGGGGGAGGCAGTGCTTTCATCGCCTGCCCTCTAGTGTCCGCCCAGCCGCCGTGCAGCGGGCACCTGAGGGTGGTGAGGCCCTGGCCAGCCTCCCGGGCTCTGATTTAGCAGTAGGACCTGCCTTCCCTTTTCCCATTGCTGCTTGGCACTAGAACGGCATTAGACTGTAAAATGGAGGGTCAGAGTCAGCAGCCCCTACCACTTACGGGAGGTTGCCATCACTTGCGGCAGGATTAAACATGGTGCTATAAGACCTGTCCTGATGCTAATCTGTGATTTTACTACTTTAGAGAGGCCCTTGGTAAAATTGATTCTGATTAACAATGTTGGTTACAAGAGAAACTGTCATGTGAATTTCTGTTTCCCTTCTTGTGATGTGTGCCTTTTGGGTACATTGAAATTGTAGTTCTGCAAATACCTAGGAAGGAGATTAGGTCTAAACAGGTGTCAAGCACCACTGAAGGTTACAGTTCTCCCTCCCATTTTTGTCTTCTCTCTGAAGCTTTTTAGATGCCTATAATTGGTCATGAAACTGTCTAAAGCGAACAAAACAGAACTACCCTGTTGGGTCTGTTAGATACCAAATTTTGCCACTTGAAAAAATAAAATTTTCTGTCTCTCTTAACATGCAGTATAAGTGTTGTGACTCCTAGCGTGCACCAGGTAGCACTGCTAGCTGTCTTTTGTGTTTTGACAATATAGATGTGTTAATAAAAAAGATCCCTCTATATGTATGTTCATGTTCATGCTGTGTACAGAATAGAGACAGACCTGGAACTACCTTGAGTAATGGGGAGATTGGGATTTGGGTTTTGTGACTCACCCCTGTCTCTGAAATGTATATTCCAGATTAGTTCCAACTGAATCTCTCTCTCTCTCTCTCTGGTTCGTCCCGAGGTGTACAGCAAGGTGTCGATCTTTACCCTTTGTGTATCATTCCTTTTTATACGAATGTATTCTCTTGTGTTCCTTTTTTATCAGTTGTAAAATGGATTGTAAAAGCCAACTACAATTACCAATTGAAAGTATTGCTATAACAGAACTGCATGCCCGGTAGAGTTTGACTTGAGCTTTAGTTTTCTGATTTTGGACTGGTTACCTTCAGTCTAGGAGAAAAGCATAGATCAGGTGCATAATATATTACTTGTCATCTTTAGCGTTAGACTGTGGTGTTGTATCACATGCTGATCTCAATGGATGTAACTGGAGTCTACTTAGGAAGTTAATGCAACTTCCTGGTAATTCATTTTAAGCTATTGAAAGTGGTCTTGATCATGCTACTTGTGTTCTTTGGGTTTTGTTTTTTAATAGAGGCATTTTTTAGGAATGTTTTAATACACTTATGATGGACAATACAATAGTTTTAATAGTTGTGCAGTATTCTGTATTTACTTGAAGTAAATCATTTTTTTATGCAATTTGTTAGATAATTACAATTTTATAAATAAAATTGCGTGAAATCTGATGTTGTGAATGTGTACTCTTGGTGGTAGCACTTAACATTAATGGTGCAAAGATACGTTCATGCAGAATTCCTCCAGGAGAAAATCCCCTGCCTCCTCTCCCCCAAACTAATAGGGGAAATAAATCCCCAAGACTCTCACAGCATAAAATACTGTGTTCTGATTAAGCCACAAAACACGTTATCACGGGGCCAGTGGCTGCCCTTAAATGAATAAGCTAATACGTGAAGAGCACATCCCCAGGTGAGGAGATCCCATGCCTACTGTCAGCTGTTGTTGAAGTCTCTGGCTGATGAACATGCTCTGCTTTTCTCTGACATGGTGGTGTTCCTGAGTGCTGCAGCTGCTGGTTAGTACAACTGTTGGAGCTTTCCCATTATCATTTTGGTGACCCTGAAGTGTTCAGAAGTTGCTGCTTTGCAGTGGGCAGCACCAAGGGGATTTCATGACTTGATTAAGCTTTTGTAAAGGAAGGTGGGCATTTCCCTTTTCTAAGCAGAAGCACTGAGAGCTGACTTACTTTATTGTGCAGGTAAAAATAGGTAATGATGGTCTTGTGCTTGTTTAGAGAGGAGGAGGAAGGAAGCCTCCTTTTTTTTGTATTTCAAAAACTGTAGAGCAACCTAATCCAGTATCTCAAAATTAGTTTTGTCCACAACATGCCACTGTGATTTAAAAGCACATCTCTGTATCCAAACTGAAGTCCAATGCCTTTTGCATATTTCAGGCATGTACATTTATCGGACCATACGGAATGCAAATGTGGAGGCCTTGGAGGTAGGTGAGGGGAAAATGAAAATCAAAGAGAAAAAAAATCACCAAAAAGAAGCAAAATCAAGGGCATCGCCTATATCTTTGTAATGCGCAAGAGATGTGACACATCAATAGCCATTTTCATGATGGAGGGGGAGACTGGAGTGGCTTCCTGTGTTCTGTCAAACTCTTAACAGACTTTGTGTACTGTTTCTTGAAGCTGTGGCTGGTTTCCATTTCTAGGGCTCCTGAAACAAATGACCCTTCTGGGTCTCATGGTCTCATTTGACCAATGGGTCCTCTGGATCCAAGGCCCATACTGTTGGGGTTTGTGCCTTACCCAAAGTGAAACTTTGCCTTGTATTTCCACACTGTGAAATGTATAAACATGTATGCTGTTTGTCTTCCTGACTGGTGTGCTGTTAGGTCTTGCAGGAGCCATTGCAGGTGCAGACAAGTGTAACACACCAGGGAGGTGCTGCCTGCCCTGTGCAGTGTTGCAGCAGTGATCGCTTTAGCTTGGTGTGCTGCGGCAGTAGACTAATGACAAGGCCTGACACCTGGCATCACTGTCATAAAAATAGTCTGAGCAGGAGATGTCGAGCTTTGCTTAGATGTAATCCATCTACTAAGCATCTAATCAGAACTGTTGTTGGCAATGTGGATTCAGTTGACTTCGCTCAAGTAGTGAAATGCATACAATCCTAACGAGCTTAGATCCTGTTCCTCTTACTGAGGCTTGGAGGATAAATGATTGACTCGCTATGTAAAGTGACCTGCAGACAGCACCATGTCACACAGCAGCATTTGTGTGGGTCGACATAGTCTCTTCAGTTATCTCCTCTTACTGCATCCAATGCCATCTTTGCCCTTGTTCAGGCTTTACTTCTATGTATAGGCGTAGCACAGCTTTTTTCTAGAAATGTAATATTCACTTGATAGTCCATCCAGGGAAACCATCTGAAAGTGGGCTATCAGTGTTGGCTTTTGTGATTGCTGCGACAGTGGTATCCCTAATAAAAATTTGATAATAAGGATATGGCTAATGCTTAACCTGACTCCAGACAACCAGGTTAATGGGGAATTTTGTTGTTGTCACAACTTTGTTGGTTACCAGCTTGTGTGAGCACTTGGAGTTTATCCTGATTTCAAAATGAACAGTCCCTTTGTAGAACTAGGTAAGTCACTGATAATTGGTCGTTCAAATGTGTTTTGGGATCTGCTTAAATCAATGGAAATTACTTCCACGCCTGAGAGAACCTGGGCTTGCGTGGGTCCACTGTAAACTGTGATTGTAAACATGCTAGTTATGTTCATCGGTGCAGAGGTACTGTGTTATTTGGTGTCTGATGTCATGGGGTCTGGTCTGTGTGCACAGCTCTATGCTATATCAGTGGCTTTATTGCACAATTACAAGCAAATAGTTTTTTAATCTATTTATTTTTTTTAATAAGAGGCTTTAGTATGGTTTAATATTAGCAGCTTTTTCCCTGTGTTTCTGGCACTGGATTAAATGAATGGGGAATCTCTGCTGTGTAAATATTCCTGTAGCATCAACTGTGTTTTGGTAGTGTCTCAGCTTAAACTGACTGAGGCAAGTTTCTTTCCATACCCAGCTTGTGTAATCCCTTTCCCATCATGGCTGGCCTTCTTCCCATCACAGTGTTGGTGGGATAGCCAGTGGTTTCATGGATTTGAGAAGGTTTCAACAGCATTTTTGCAACCACACGGCATGGGATCACATGGGTGCTTGGACTCTGGAATTGCTAACCTCTGATGATAAAAAAGGAGCTTGGAACTTCTGAGGCTGGCACTTCAGTCCTGGAAGTGCTGAATTCACCTTCAAGTGTTAAAGATCTTATGATCTGTTTGCACTGTAGGCTTGAACAAACTAGACAATGGCACCACACAGTCAAAAACAACATGCACAGGCTTGCTGGAAACTGTTGTCCCAACTGCTCCTTGTGTTGCAAAAGAGTTGTCTGTTGGCTTGCCTGCTGGCATGGTAAAAACCTAAAATGAGCAGCTATGAGATAAGATGCTTAAACTGGCTACTTCCCAACTCCTTTACCTAGGACAGGAAAAAAGGATCACTTGATGGAGTTCTGTTGAAAAGCAGCTGCAAGATGCACCTTTAAAATCCATGTATAAAATTCCCCAACACACAAAACCCCAACATCAAGCAAGCTCGAGAGCACTCGGATTGTACAGAGTATTCCTGTTAAAACGCACTATTGTTAAAGCACACAGTGCTGCTGTGTGAGCATACACAGTGAAAGAGATTGGAATAGTTTCCTTTGTATTCGCCCAGCTGAAAGGCAGTGATTGTGTCAGGGCCAGAGGCAGGAATGACAAGGGCTCCTCGCCAGTGCGAGGTCAGTCACAGCTTCCACATGTGATTACAAAAAAGGACAAACCACAGGATAAAGTGAGGGCACTGAAATTTTTATTTGTTACCTCTGGGTACCACGAGTTTGACATTAATAGGCAAGACCAGTGAATGAGCAGTACATTGCATTCAAACCTGAACCTCCAAAGCACCAAAAATTGAGCTAGGTTTACTGCTTAATCCTACAGTCAGCACACTAGTCTGGACTTGCTGCATCTTGTATCATCCCTAATTTAGTAGTACATTGTTACGCAGTTAGGGGGCGTGAGGAAAGAGTCATTGTGTAGTACCACTTCTACGTCATCATAGGACTACAACATGCACATTCTATTATGTGGCCCAAGCAACAAGAATACAAGTAGAACAGTTACAGGTGGAGACAGGTTCATGTTAACACCACCTATGAATTTGTAGAAACCTTTTTGGATGGGTACCTACAGCAGTTCATCAATTTGTGTGGGAACATTACACGCATGCACAGTGATACAGTGGAAAACACAGCAGGAGCGGCAGCAGGACGGAGGACAAAGGTGAAATCTGTGATGGGATGCACTGGAAACAAGACCTTCCTCAGCTTTCTACAGCAAGTCTCTGCTCTGTTAGTGAGGCCTGCTGGGCAACAGTTTTGTTCTCATGGCTGCGGAGTTTTGATATGACTTCTAGAAACGCCATGCTCTGCACTTCCTTTTGAAGAGGCTCTGGAAAAGGAAATAGTAAAAGAAACAGCGCTTTGTATGAGGTGGGCAAGAGAACAGAAAAGCGTGGTGAGCGTGAGAAACTATTCTACTGAACCCCATACACACCCATAACCTTTGTATTTACTTTTATGGATTGGTTTTGAGGATGGAGAGAAAACTGCAGGGTCAGGGGCATGCACAGACTCCCTGGATTTCAGGTAGAGGTGAATGACAAAGCTGCTGCACAGCAGTTAAGAAAATCCACCTGGATTGCCTGCCAAAGCAGATGCGGAGGAAGTGTTCCTAGTGAAAATGGTTTTTTGATTTATTCCTTTCAACTAGCCTGGCCAAGTGAGCTTGCCTGGAAAGGTTCACTGGTGTTTGTATTGAACAGCTCTGGTTGCTTGTGTTGAGTGTGAAGTGGGCGAGGTGGTTCTTTGAGGGATGTGGCACCACTTGGTCACTGTTAGCTGTCCACTTACAGTTTGGCTCTTAAACATCATGTGGTGCATAGCCCAGTATTGTGCATAGGTATATTGCACGTACAGTTTTCCTTGAAACTATGCGACACTGTTTCATGCTTCTGATCCTGATTGCTCTGTGCTTTGTATTAATAAGGAAAGGTTGGAAACAACCCATAAAATTGAGCAATTTTTAAGAAGTAATGAGTTTTCACAAAGCCCTGGACTCCAGACATCTCACAGTTAAGATCCAACTTGTTTGCTTCATGCCCTGTTCAAACCACTCTAGTGAACTCCCACTCAACAACAAATACCTACATATATTTTTGCTTTCCAGGTGCTGCTGGGGCCCTTATCCGTGAGCTGCCCAGGAGAAATCCCAACCATCTGTTTCAGAGAGCTGTGCTGTATGCTATGCACATTTGCTACATTTTTTAATAGCAAATGTTGACATTTTTTCCCCTACATACTTTCTTGTTTGCATGTTTTCAGTTTTCTTGCAGTTTAACCCCTACCATACAGAGCTGGGAACTCTGATGCTGCTGTGCCCTGGGAACCCGCAGGTATGGAGCAGTATCAGCAAAGCTGTTGGGGTGGTTATGCTGTGTAAGCACTTTCTGCTCTCTGTCTCCTGAGATATCGTCATGTTTAAGCAGATGTTACTGAACTGAATTTCAGGAATTTGCTGTCTTTTGCAGTAGCTGAATAGTTCTGCTTAATGTGTAGCTTCCTGTGAGCCTGGAGACCCTCGAACACAGAAGTGACTGTGCTAGCGATGAATGCTCTTGCTTTTGCTGATTCTTTACATTATGATTTAAATGTTTCTATTTTCCATTGTTCTCATTTTTCCCTCTTTCCATCCATTCACTCAGCTGCAAGAGCAACTTCCAGATGGCAAAAATTGTGTGTAAACAGACATCCATTTACTGTTTAACACACAGCTGTTGGCACTATCAAGTTAAAAGTGATGCCAGATACCCTGTAAGAAAGGGTAGTAACAGCAGCAGTCACTGGAGAATTAAACATAGCAATAATTAAGCCAGTGCAACCATTTCTAGTCTTTATTGAACTGTACTGGGGTCAGTTACTTTAAAATCACTATGCATTTGTGTCTATACTACAATATGGAAACGTGAATGTGGAGTGGAGACAGTGGTGAAAGGAAGTTAGAGGCAAAACTGGGAGAGGTGTATTTATTTTCACATGTAAAGAGCAGACGTGGCTTTTTGAGCCCCGCTCCTTGGTTGAAATAGTAAAAAAGTTAATACCAGAGTTGCTTAGTTGCTCCTCTCATGTAGTCACCAATTTTACACAGGTCTATCCATCAGGAAGCGGGGCTGAAGACTGGGTCAGCTAGTGCTGGACCTTAACTGTACAGCTGTGTACTGTGATGATGTGCTGTCTGCTCCCATGAGCCTGGAGCAGGCTAAGATGCCTTATGTCTAGGCTTATAGTGTGGTGGCAGACTGAACTCTGCCAGTTGGATAACCTTGAAAAAACTCCTAAGAGTGCTCTTTACTCTGGTGGAATAGACACAAGGGTATTTGACTTCAAATAACTGTCAGTTGTGCAGGTGACAGAGACCTGCAAGACTGACAGGCCTCATTTTCAAAGAGGGGAAAATGCAAGTGTCAGGTAGGATTTCCGAGGATGATTATTTTAGTTGGAAGCAGTGGGAATACACATAAGAACATCATGGTAAGGCTGAGGAGGAACCTCTGCAGCAAGGCTTCTGCTCTAAAATGGACAGATAATCCCAAGCACAAAATGGCTCAAGAAAGTTGTGAGTACCAACTCAATTACATATCATAACATTAAAGTGAATGCTTTCTGAGAGCTGAGGCAATTTCTGAGCACAATCTTTGTACACAGAGATGCACAGACTGCTCTAAAACTAAATACTTGTTCCTTTAAGATGGCTGTAATACAGCATTCACTTGCATGGGTGTACAGGGCAGCAGTTACATTTAGTAGGCATGGTGAACTCTGTTTAAGGAGAAAAAAAACCGAACAGCTTTGTTTACAGAGGCAGCACAGACTTGGCCATAACTTTTAATTAATTCAATTGAATTGCTGTAAACTCATCTCTTGAGAACCTTCAGATGCTTCACACTTGGCGAGTCATGTGCAGACAGGCCCTGAGTTTCCACCTTTCTGACTCAATCCAGTTCTTTATCTTAGTTGTCTGTGAATTTCTGAAGCCTTTATGGAATTAAATTTGTTCTCCTTTCACAGAGTAAATACTTCTCAAAGAGCTAAATGAAAGAAACACAGCCACCATTGGAAACCTCAGCTGGAAATCAAGTTTCCCCATGATACCTTGCTCTTCTGTGTTTTACGGGGGTTTTGGTGGCATTTTGTTTGTGAGGGTTTTTGCTTGCCCACGCAGAGGTAAGAAGTTGCAATATCAAACTGTGGCCCACTTACACCATCCTCAAAACAGTCTGACCTTTAGCAGAGTGTTGGCTCAGAAAGATTAGAGTTCACAGTGTCCAGCATTGATGTGTGTTAGAGCATGGCCTGCTTGTCTTTCAAAGCACCCATGAACAGTTGAGTCCGGTGGGCTGAGCCTGTGAGTGCTGCTGAGGGGAGGGACTCTACTAGTGTGAGTAAGCGTGAGATCTCTCCATTTGTGTGCACTTGTGTCCTTGCATTATTACCTGTATCTTTGTTTCCTACTAGTCTCATAGGAATTTAAAACTATGAGTGAGGAGGCTCCCTGTAAGATTCAGCTGAATTTTACTTGACCATCAATTATGGAAACTTGCAGCTGAAGGTGAAAATAAAGTTCTCGCTAGCTGCATCTTTGCAGAGAGCCTGATGCAGTATGGTTTTAAATGCCTTTAATTTCTCTTCTGTCAGTTGAAGTTTGAGCAGAAGCCAGAGTCCAGTTTCTGCAGTTTGTATCCAAAACCGAGTTAAGAGTCTTTTTCTTGACACTATAAATAAACACTATAAATGAAGTGTCATAGTAAATTGAATCCTTCTGTGTACATTCATTGTGAACAGAGAACCAGTCTCTGAGTGTGGTTGCACGCTCTCTATGTTCAGGCTAAAAGGGAGAGCTAAGTTTAAATACATATATCTCTTAAGAAAGCAGCCTCTGCTGAATACTCACCAGATCCTATAAGGGCACAGATCAACACCATGGAGTTGTATTTTATTTCTGGAGCACTCCTGTCGTCTGAGAGCAATCTGTGTAGAATCTGAACAAGCTGAGCATTTTCGAGATCCTTTTCAGCGGTGACTGAAATACAAGTGAAGGTTTGTAAATCTGGAAGTGCTGCTTGCTTTCATGCTTCTGTGCATGAGCCGTTTATTGAAACACGGCTTTCTCACTGTAGTGAAAGTGCTTTTGTGGTACATGACTCACTGGCAGAAAACTGAAGCGTGTATTAGACGTATGATGATAGGAATCACAGCTCTTGCTAAAAAATGTAAAACGGCCTAACCACTTGAAAGGACAATCACAAGAGTTTAGTGATAAAATCCAATCTTAAATGTGCAGTGAGCTGATGGAAAAGCCATCAGGCTTTCCAGCTGTTTAGGCCAACACCTACAACATTCCAGCTTTCAAGACTTCCACTGCCTGAACTTGTTTTTGGGAATTCTGCCTGAGTAAATACAGGTGGTTTAATTCTTAATTCCATGGCAGAGGGAGCTCAGGGCTCATTATAAAAGCTGTGAAAAACTTCTCAAGATCAGAGTGCAAGTTGTTTCCTCTGTAGTGTTAAGAAACATTATATACTGAATTCAGGCTCAAAACCTTTAAATGTCTGAAGACAAGACAAAGAAGGATTAGAGAGTTCACCTGAACGGGAACATTTTTCTTTTTTAATTAAAACAATTCCTTGATGTATTGTCAGTGATTTGGAAGCTGAACATAGCACTCCTGCAGTATGCGATACTAAGAGATGAAATCGAGAGCAAAAATACATAATATTGCTTGTTTAGTTCCTTACATTAGTTAATAAGCAAGCAAATAGGATATACAAAACCTCTGGTGGGCATTTGCCTTCTTGTTAAGCTGAGGTATGACAAAAGCCTTCATTTGGCAACTCTTGCACCCTTTTCTGTGGAACATCATAAAGACATTTTGGGGGCATTATCCATCTCTGTGTGTATTCTCTGGCTCTCAATTAGGTAGGTGAAAGCTTTGCTTTGGTAAGCTCTCTCAAAGGGGATTAACCAGTCCCAGTGTAGGAATGTGAAGGTCAGGTCATGTAGTCTTCACTCTTAACATACGATTTTCTTCCCTGTTAGCCTTCTGGGTTTTACCCAAAATTTGAAAGTTATGTTGAAGGCCTGGAGAGCCAAGGAGTGATCAGCAGGACCCGCTCACCCTTTTACAGCCCCATTTGGCCAGTGTGAAAGTCTAATGGAGAGTGGACACTAATGCTAGACTACTGTGGCCTGAATGAAGTCACACCACCACTGAGTGCTGCCGTACCGGACATGCTAGATCACTGCTCAGGTTGGGCTGGGTATCGGTTGGCAGCTGGTGAGCGGTTGTATTCTCTTCCCTTGTTATTTCCATTATCATCATTATTATTATTGGTGGTAGCAGTAGTGGTTTCTAGATCATGTGGTCACCAGAGTGATCATAGAATCATAGAATAGTTAGGGTTGGAAAGGAGCTTATGATCATCAAGTTCCAACCCCCCTGCCATGGGCAGGGACACCTCACACTAAACCATCTCACCCAAGGCTCTGTCCAACCTGGCCTTGAACACTGCCAGGGATGGAGCATTCACAAATTCCCTGGGCAACCCATTCCAGTGCATCACTACCCTTACAGTAAAGAACTTCTTCCTTATATCCAATCTGAACTTCCATGATGGAATAGACATTGTATTACCAGCAAACTCCAGTTTTCTGCATGACCTGATTGCCTGCCTATGTCTGCATGAACTATATATCTGTGCTACTGAAAGGCAAGGGGAAGGAGGAGGCTGTTCTACATTGCAAAACAAACTCACACAGCTTTCCTGCTGCAAACTCTCTTGGGCACAGACTGGAAAGAAAACAGTTCACCGATGGGATACTCACCTAACTCTAAAGCCGCTATTAATGCCAGTGCAACGAGAGCTTCGTTTTGCATTATTACGTGTTCACTGGTTGCCATGGTTACTAAATGCTTTATGCCTCCACTCTGTACAATGGTCCTAATTACATCCTAAAATAAACAGAAATGGAAAAACAAATCTGTGTTGCATACAGGCTGTATTAAACAATGAAATTGTTGCGGATGCTGTGTTATCTTTGGGTAAGGATACTCCTTGGCTTTATGCACATATAAACACTTTATACATGAACGTACATGCATTTGGGCCTATAAATGATCTGCCATTGCTCTGCAATTTTAAGATACAACCTGTTAAAGCAAAGCAGTTAACCACATAACCAAGACACACATAACTAACTCTTTTCCAAGTTACACTGTTTAACTCAAATATCCATGTTGTGCCATCAGTTACCTAAGGAACGCTTTTTGTCATCTTTGAACTCAGCTGGGTACAAGGATTAGTTTTCGCTTACTAATGTTCTGCTGTTCAGAGCAGCTTATCCAAAGCACCCAATAAACAACATATTTGGGATAAGGAGATACTTTTGGGATAAGTAGTTTTAACAAAGTTATAAAATCCTTAATTTCTCTCCATGAGCTTTCAGTTTCTTTAAAATGTTCAGAGGTGTGAGATCACAAATGTTACACCTTACTCTGCTGTAGAAATGGTTTTGGAAGTGGGCATTAAAAAGAAGAGCATTCTTTTGAAGCACTGTGGAATTTTCCTTCAAATACAAAGCAGGTTAGGGATGGATAGTTACGGGATTGCAATGTACTGGTTTCTGTTCTAAAGCCAGCAATTAAAATGAACTCTTGCCCAATGAAAATGCTGACTGGTTAAATGGCTTTAAAGCAGTTTAAAAACAGTCCAAAATTTGATCCAGCTTACATATACGACAAAGGATGAGCAAAGATTTCTGGTGTTAGCAGGCCTTTGATTACTTGTAAATTATCATTATAAAGTGAGTTTGCACCTAATACTTTCACAATTATATGTTCCCAAAATGCTCGCAGAAATGTTGGACTGAAAATCAAGTATTGGCATGCCGAAGGGAAACTGTTCAAGGAAATGTGGTTTGGCTTTTATTATTTTTTTGTTCTGTGGGTGCACAAAGTTTTTCAATAGTAGCTATTTCTTGAAATAAGAATCTGATTTAAAGTTTTAATCAATGTGGTGAATTCCCATTTAAGGCACACATCCCTTTCTAACACCAGCCAAAAGCCAGAGTCATGAAGTGATACATGTGCTTAGAATGATTTCTATTTCAGTGCTTGCACAGACTATGCAGTGACGTCCTTCATGCAAGGAAGCAGACACAGTATGATCATCATCCTTGAAAATGGAAATAGTTTTAGATAACCATACTGAAGGTGACACAGGTCACAGCCTAATGACTCAAGAATTTCACATTTAAAACCTTTTTTTTTGTCTGAATGACATAATGTGCGCATGCATGTAACTATTTTTATACTCTTCCTTATTTGCAGTGATGTGTTTTATTGTTTGTGATTTTCTGGTTGAACTCCAAGGTAGTTTTGAGACTTCACTGAGTAATATGGGAACTGCTAATTTCTGTTAGGATTGGTGTACAATTTTAGCTGTATAAACTTTGGGAATTGATCACCACCTTTGACATAATATCTTTTATTTTGTAGGCGAACATTACCCTCTCAAAGGCAGTACCCAATAGACAGAAGTGGTGACAACAGTCAGGTTTGGTGTTAAGTGAGACACTTAACTCACAAGTACTCCCTTCATTTTTTAGAATGAGACATAATTTTTCTAAACTACTGTTGCCTCTGTAAATATTACCCCAAATCCTTTAGAATTAAAGCCAATTCAAATCCGGTGTACTGCAAGAACAGTAGTTGTACTCGTATTCAAACCTAGAGGGCGGTAAAAGCATTAAAAACGCCACCATCTCAGCTCTTTCCCTCTTCCAGTCAAGTTTCCTCTGTGACTACGGAAACCACACAAAAGTTCATATGTGATAATTCTGTTAACTTCTGCATTAATATGTATTTGATGCTATCAATAGCGTCCCTCTCTTTAGATATGAATTCTGTTTTCCTGTAGAGAGTATTGATGCTGTGGCAGCATTTGCCATTTATGCATGTCCTGGGTTCAGCACTTAAACCGTGACACCTGGGGACTGTGGGGGGGGTGTATAGAAAATGAGAACTCAGAAAAAAAGAAACCTGATCAGTTCTGGAGGCTGAATAAAATTAGAAAGAGACAGTAATATTAGAAATGAGCAGACCCACATCTCTGTAAGACCTGTTGATTTGTTTTGGGACAGGCTCAGTATAGATCAAGCCAATGATATGTTTTTCACTTCACAAATGCCATGCATGAATGAAGAGGTCACTGTTAAAGGCTGAGTTCTCAACATCCCACTTGCTATTTACGTTCAGTCATGCAGCCTGTGTTCATATGGGTGAATGCGAGAAATGAAGTCTGAGCCTGAAATAGCTTGTTTCCAGAAGAGATGCTTTTGTCCTTTCTCAGGCTGTGGTTGTCCAATACTCTCCTGAGCAAGAACAGTGGACTTGGACTGCTTATGTAAAGGTGTTTGGCTGATGCAGATGTGATGGAAGGGTCAGAAATCATCTGTCCCAGAGTTTCTTTTAATATCGTACCTTTTGCTATGTGCAAGCAAACTTTTGTTAGAATTTGGAATAAATGATTGTTTCTAATCTGTTAGAATCTTAAAGCTCTGAAATGTGCTCAATGAGCAAAGGGGGACGGACTTTATCTGGAACTAAATTTTATATAAATATATAGGAGGATCATAACAATTGAGTGCAACGATTCTTCATATATAAGAGTAAAGATTTTCTACATTAAAATGTAGAAAACATCATGCTGAATTTCTACAGGATACAATGCAAATAAAAATGAATCAGGACATAGCCATGTGAACCCTAACAGCATTGCTTCAGCTGGCCTGCTGCCACCCTGAAACTGTTCTGCTTCATTTCATTATTTTATGTTTTTCTTTAACTACATAGTTCCAGCGAGCACTTAAACCTGTCATGTCTGACTGGCAGGTCCCAGAGGCAGAGGAGATGTAACACATGAATTAACCAGCCTGGCTCTCCAGAAGGATTACATACTGGAGGGCTCAGCTACCGATGCAGAGTACAAAGGTAACTCTTTGTTCTTACAAGCTGACCTTTTTTCACCACTAACTTACTTTTGATTTGCTGTGTCGTATAAGTGCGGAAAGTAGTCTGTTGGATTCCCCCATCACACCTGCGTGATCCTTGGCTTCACACCATTCCACCAATCGTTCCACCAGTTTGACATTTTTGCCCAGCTGTTCGGCTGCTTCTGCTGTATGATGCCAGAGCCAACAACACAACAAAAAAGTTGTCACTTTTCAAAGCAAGCGCTAGAAAAATAAGCTGAAAGTTACTAATTAGAAGGAATTAGTGGAACTCTACTAATTTGTGCTAACAGTGGGAGGAGTCTAGGTTGAATGGAAGCAAATGCAGCCAGTCAGAATGGACACAAAATACAGAAAATCAGTCATAATCGAGTTTTTGGGAACAGTCTATCAGTTACTGTTACTGGCACAACAGTAACACAGCCAGTTACTGAGGCTTGTGCATTGATTAGGGAAGACAGAGGTGATGTCACTCCCAGGTGAGCTAACTCAAAAACGTAAAACCAGGAGGGAGCGCTGTGGTTGGTTAGATTTGGTTTTATGGGCTATGTCACATTAGATTCTTGAGTGAATTTCTCTTTCACATCTAATCCTTTGCTAGAACTAGAATGGATCTTTGGAGAAAATCTGCAGGGCTGGGTTGAAAATAAATACTTCTGATTTTATAAATCCTCATCCTGGAACAAGCTGCTCAAGGTGCTTGATCATTTTGAAATCACAGTTTATCAATTAAGTAGTGCTTTAGTCTGTTCTGGGGAGGTAGGTACACCCAGGAAGTGCAGAAAGTGAACGGCAAAACAGGAGTGGTAGCTTGAAACACGCCTCAATACACCGTTGTGAAGTGACAGTGTAGGAGAGTTCTGATGTACAAAAGTAAATAAGCATTTGACACCTATCCCGAGGGTCCCTGGTAGTCAATTCAGGAGTTCTGGAAAAAAATCAACCCACATTCCTCTCCCTTTCCATATGCATTAGAGTTATTCCAAGACTTCAGGAGTAAAATCTTAAAAACCCCTCTGCTTCTTCCTTTTAAGAATCTTGGCAGCATATGACAGACTGAACCAAAGAGAATCACTTAACATAGAGAACAGTTTATTTTTACCTTGTGCATCTATTAACATTCTTAATGTTCCCAGCAGCTTGAACTGAACAGGGGGCATCTCCGATCTGAGAAATTTCAATACAGCTTCTGCAACACCAGCTGATAGCATCTTAGCCTTATTTACAACTGCATGAATAAAGAACAGGGATGATCTCAAGAGCACTTCTGGAAGATGCAGTTTATTTCCAAGGTGGTTTTGAAGCAAGTTTTCAGGCATGGTTTGAAACCTAGCTTTGGAACACAGACCCCAGGAATGTGAGTGAGCGCTGACAGAACTGTGTTGTGGAAAGATGTCACAGTTGCTAAGACACAGGTGTGAAGTTAAGTGCCTTCTCCTACCATGTGCATCTGATTTTCAGTGTTCAGCCTGAACGTAAACTGAAGGTTGGACTTTTCCCTCTTGGCCTAGGAAAGTGGTCTTACAGAGCAGTCTTCAAGTAGAAGCCCAGGCTAGTACTTGCACCCCAAAATGACAAAACTTCTCTGATTCCCAACAACACTTTTCTATTTCACATAGGCAAAGGAACTAAAGCATCCAATCGGCAAAATAACCTCTCCCCCAGCTCCAACATTGTAGCCTGACATGTCTGGAGCCTGTAGTCCTTGTACTGCCCCCTTCTCCCCCCAACTCCTTCATCTATGTTCTCCAGTTTCATAGAGCTCTCTGAAATGTATGTAAGGCACAAACTTGGTCCAATATTGTACTTAGACAAAAGTACTTATTTCACAGTCAGTGGTGTTTAACAAGCAGTTAATCACTGAGGCCTGTTCCTACTTGCTCATTTTTCTTTAATAATAGGCATGAAATTTTATGTAGGTCTCTGGCAGACATCCCTGAGCATAGGCTACAGGAAGGCTTGCTGACTGATGCAAGTTAATAGAATTACTCAACTGAGTAAGGTAAGCAAGTAACATACCACTTCAGCTGTATGGGTTTAGGTAGGTATGAACGATTGGTTTTAGAAGCTTATGATTTGTCAAAACTGAAAATAGTAAAATAAGGTAAAATGGATGAAAGACTTATTTTTTGGCTTGGCATGAGACAGCATACACAAGTATTAGACTTGCTTTGTTACTGTGTGCATGTGCTCTGCCTTTTATGCTTGGGTAATCAAAATTTATACAAATTAAGTTACTAAAAATGACAGAATTAGCATTCAGTTCATCGCCTACAAATAGTAACTAATTGCAGTGGGCTGGCTATTCTAACAGTGTACGCCCTGCTCTAATTTAGGAACTGCCAAAGCCTCAGGAAGTTACAGTAAGATGCAGTATTTCAGCAAGTTGGCCACTGCTTTTTGGTGGGACTCTCAGCTCTGAGAGAGATCCCAAATGGAACAACCACAACCAAAAAAATGCAGTGCTTTGGACAGGAAGGACTGAGATATCATATCTGAGGCCTCCTCAGCTCTCTGCCTCTTACAAAGCTGCCCTTTCCTTGGTGGGGATAATACTGTGGGATTAAAGTAGCAAATGACAGTCAGTAGGCCTGTGATGTATTTAAAACTGCTTGTCACCACTGCTGTGCGAAAGACATGAAAGCAGTGATGGGCCTGAATGAAAAGCAGCAGCCTGACCTGCCTCTAGACTGCCAGTCAGTTCTCCCACCATCATCCCCTAGACGGGTGCAGTGGGAGAACAGAATTTCACCTTCGGGTAAGCAGCAATGCAAAGTGAGGCTTACCAGGAATAGCCAGGTTTCTGAGAGCACTCAGTGCGGCGTGCTGCACAGTTACATTTCCGTCCTCCACATGTCTGTCTAGCAGATCCATCAGCTTTTGAACTATGCCATTATCCACCATATGGATGCAGTTTCCATCTGTACAAGAGAAGGCAAGTTACTTGGGAGCAGAAGATTATTAATAAGATTTTTACAGGATCTTTTTAAAAATAGGAGGATTATTTCCTTGCTCCTTTTAAGATTTCATTTTTGAGAATCTGACCACCATCATCAATGGCAGTTGCAGTGCTCATGACAAATTTAGATGAGTGATATAAGGAATGCTGAAGAAGGCAGAAATCCCCTGTACCTCTCTGCAAATGTGAAACAGTATTTTTAATGTAGGCTTGGTGCTTTTCAGGATTGTAAAATATAAAATTACTGATGTTGCTGTATAGCTCAATGCCATCTTTTTACCATGACACCCAGTTTTTGTTTGTAGCTGTACAAACAGAGAATAATAGAATGGCACAGATAAATTTACATAAGCTATTATGGCATATTCTTACCATTTCTGGCAAAATTTGCAATAGCCAATGCTCCTGCAAGCTGTAGCTGATGGCTGTTGGAAGGAATCCACAAGAGTACTCTTTGGAATACGCTGCCTTTTCCTCCTTCAAATAACTTTTGCATGGATTCATCTGGGGTGAAAAGCATAGACAGTCAGCAAGCCAAAGTGTTTGTTAGGGAAAATGATTTTCTTTATTTTTGTGAAGCTCTGCTGGCTTCACTACAATTGACTCAGTCCTGCAGTGGGATAGGAGACAAAATCTGACCTATTAAACGTTAACTGGCAAGGAGCAGGTAGAAAATTAATAAACAGTCAAATTCAGCAGCCAAATGGCATTCCAAGTATCTGCTGTTGCTTTGTAGAAGATAGCGACACAGCGAACTCACCTCCAAGCAATAATAAAACCATAAGATCAGAAGCTGTTTTAAGCTCTGCAACATCATCCTCTTTGTCGCTGTCCACAGTCTTCTGGACAATCTCAAGTAGGCACTCCACCAAGCCAGCTTCAACCAGCTGCAGTTTAATGACATCTGAAGAACAGCATGGATAATGGGCTCAGAATCATGATTTTAAATACATCTACTGTACATACATACAAGACAGACCATGAAACGAAGTAGTGATGTCAATGGTGCCACTGACAGATTGTGTAGATAAAACTGTGACTAATTTAAGTTCTCAGGGCCAGCTTCTGCCATTGTTCATCTACCAGGCATTCCCCAGCTCTGGACCACCTTTAGAGCGCCACTGGACACTGTACGGAGCCGCTCTTCCCCTCTCAAAAATGAGGATATTTCTTTACATCAAACTTCTGTCATCTCAGTCATCATGCAGCAGACTCATTAGGACTGTGCTGTGTTTGGCCTTTCCAAAGACTTTGGACTGTGTGGCAGAATAAAGTTAGGGTTTCTTACTCTATTTCACATGCAGAAGAGCTACCGACTTCAGGGAGACATACGTGTATCAAATACAAAACTTCTGGATGAAATCTAAGCAAGTAATCACCCATTTTGTTTAGCTGAGCCAAGATTTCTGCCATTTGTTGGAAAGACTGCAGGAGGAGTACTGCAAGGCCAAATCCAAAAGGCTGGACTGTGAGACAAGCTAATTTCTTAGTTGTTATTTGCAACAGGGCTCAACAGATAAAGTGATAAACATGTCTTTTAGGTGGTGAAACAGGACTTGGGAGCAGTATTTTTTGTTATTTCTACAACACAATCTTTAACAGACATTTTCCTGTGAACTTGAAGCTAGCAATCTCCTTTACATGCCTAACTTCCCTTTCTGTTAAGTGGGAATGGCAGGTTGGTTGACACTGTGTGATGTCTTTTAATTATGTGGAAGTGATTCTGGTGGGTTTTCCATGCTGATTTTTAGACAGCAGAGTCACAAATCTCTGCAGAAATATGCAAACAAATGGGATTCTCTCAGCTTTCTGCTTGGAATGGTGTTTCAACAATGAGGAGTTTAACTAACATCAAATATTTTCCAAGGCCAAAGCTTGCTGGATGTGCGGAAGTGTTTAATCTCTGGTGAAGGATGTGTCTGACTCCCAATTTCCTGTTATCACAAGGCTTTTTGCCTGAGTGAAATTCATTGTTCCTCTAAGAGTGCCTGACCTTCCCATGAACTTTGTTAGGGAATGCAAAATATCCAGCTGAGATTTTTTATATAGGCACGCTTGCACGGAGGTGCTTTAAAAAACAGAGTTCCCTTAGTTACAGAACACCAGGTTGCAGATGTTCTGTGATATGAAATATAAATTGCTACAGCAGTGTGCTTCAACAGCAACAAAACCCAACCCTCAAAAAACTCCAACCACCAAAATCCAGATTCTGTAAGTACTTCATTTAGATGGTTTTACTTCTTGACCTATTGTCTATTATCTATAATCAAAAGCACCTAGACAGTACCCACACAGTGAGCTTGTTTTAAGCATGCCTTGAATCTAGGATGGAAAAGTTTGGCTGACTACCTCTGACATTCAAGCTCCTGAGTTATGTTCAGCATCAGTAAACTTATCAAATTGTGTAGCAATCATAAAACACAGTCTAAGAAAAATTAAGCATTTGAACTGAAATATGTCAAACTTGCAAAAGGTTCAACCCAATTCAGTGTCAGTCTCCAAGGATGGAACTATTTCTGAGCAACTTGCTAGTTATGATATAAAAAATGAGTATGTTTTGGCAAAATGTGCATTGTTAGAACTAAAAAAATGAAACCTGTTTTCATATACCACTTAAAATAAATTTTAGACTGAAGTAAAAATTTGTCTTGATTTATACTACGTAAACCAGACCCAGGCAGAGTGTATGTGTACAACAGAGTAGGATGAAATCGAAACCTTTAGAGTTTACAATCCTAATAATTTATTACATTCAAACACACTTTAATGCTGAGATGATTAAAACAAGATTATAGAGCCATCAAATACAACTCCTTGTGGAAGTACATCCTGGAGGGGTGACTGGGCACATACCACTTTCCGCTCCAGCCTGAGCAGTGAATGAAACTCAAGTCTCCTGGGGTTACCGTAATTTATGCCACCAAACACCCATATTAAATTTGTATGATCTCTCAATGAACAATGAGGGAAGAGTGCTGAGCTCTTAGCTCTGCAATTAATGTGCCCCCTGCAAAAAATAATGTCCATGGGTAATGGAACTGCCAGTGGCTCAATGATCCCAGGAAATGATGCAATGACTGATGTCCTGGTGCTATAACAGACTATGGACACTTGAGCCAGTGTTTTGCAAACAAGTGTTGTAAAGCCCTCTAAAAAGTGGCTTTTGATATTCCCACTGCAGGTTCAGGGAAATAAAATATAATCTACAGAGTGAATCAGAGGTGGCTGATTGTTATTGACAGGAGCCAAGAACAATTTGCTGGCTCCTGTCACATGCTCAGACAATTAAGACCTATTCACTTTATATAAAAATATCATCAAAAGGATCAGCTGTGGTGGCTTCTGGACAAGGCAGCCAGTTACTCTGCATTTAGTCCCTGAAAAAGACACCACTATACCAAATTATATATAAGGGAATGAATAAAAAATAGCACAAGGAAAAAGAAAAATCCAATTCTCACCATTTTCTGCCAGGGGAGCCAAAACTTCAAAAATCATCTCTCTTTTATCATGCTCTATTTGCTTCTTGAACAGCTTAACAAGCTCTTCAGCAATGTTTGTGTAGGCAAACTGCTCTTTACTTGACTCTGTGAAGCAAAAGGAAAAAAATCAGTATCAAGTAAACAAACCACATCAAAAGGAAGGACTCATTTTATTCTCTTTGTTATCAGGTTTATTCAGTAAGATGACTAATAGTGCTCTTCACAGACAAGAACAATAGACTTGGGCTTGTCATTAAATGAAAAGAAAAATGTCTAGCACTTCAGTTAAATGCACTGACCTGAACTGATGATAATCAAGGCTTTTAAAAGTACATAAATACATGGTCAATGCTGTTGGGGCTGTTTCTGCCCAACAGCACGTAAAGGTAGCTATAGAAACAGGAACATTACAAAAATACATATATAGTCCTTAATTGCCCTCAGTTTAACAGGAAAACTAGCAGATTCTGTACTGCATTTTTCTGGGACAGAGGAAGAGTTATACTGAATGCTTTAACATTTACATGGTTTCACGATAGTGACACTTCCTTTGAAATCTGTGCATGGCTGTTGCAGGGTCATTTCATGCTAAACAGATAGCATAAAGCAGCTTTACAGATGGGCTAGCTTAATACTAGGAGGTCAGCCAGTAGATAACAGTTCTTCATACATGGATTCAACAAAAGCATCCCTTGTTCCATTGCCTGTATCTTATTCCTCCTCATTGGCAGTATTACAGGGGATGCAGGTGGTAGGGCTGGTGTTCTGTATTCTTCAGTTGCCACCTCCTGAGAGCCATCTGTAGTTAGAAAACCTTCCAGCACCTTTGCTACTGCTCTAATGAGTGCCTTGGGATTATTTTAATGTAGAAGTGACCCAAAGGACTGGGGAAAACCATAAAGTGCAGACCTAGACCCTTTTGTGCACATCCCATTATTGTTTTCTCTCAATATGAAGACTGCATAGCATATTATAAGTGGATTTTTGACCTTTCCAGTATATTTAAAAGCAGAACCATCACTCTATTTATTGGGCTCTTGCCCTGCTTTGACACAGAATAAGTTTCATATAATGCTTCTCAAGGGATCTGTGCAATGCAGTTGTCTCTTAAGTGATGAAAACTGACAACCTCAGAATAAAATTCCCTGAAGTTACAAGGCAAAAATAAAATATTACAGTTATGATGTGATTGACTAAGCTATTCCTTAAGGGAGATTAAAGTATTACAAGCTAAATTAATTTTGTGCCAATCTTAAAGAACAAGCATCTTTATCTGTGTATGGGAACAGGAAGGCAAGCAGCTGCCACTAAGCTTCTTTCCCATGGTTCTTATTATCCAACTGGATCTTTCTAAACAGGGAAAGGAAATACAGTTCTCCGTAAAGACTGCATTTATTATATTTAATATCCTTATGGCTTTAGCTGCATTTAAGCACTAGAATTTCCAGTATACAACTCATTATATTTTCTGCTGTGCAAACACAATACATAGTGCCCATCTTGAAGATCTTTCAACTATTAATTTCTTTGGTGCTTTTTTGATGGCTCTTTCTATTGCAGATTTGTTAAGAAGACTTGCCTGCTATAAGCAAAGGTACTATACATGTAATTAGACTGCACTGGAGAATGTTATATTCTCTTTGGCCTTGAAATCTATGAATTTAGGACAATTGAGTAACTTCAATTGTGAGTAACTTGGCTACCAAATAGTACAAACTCACAGATATATTTTTCATGTTTTGAACTGCTGAATTATCTTAGAAATACAGGATGTTATCATAACTGCTCTATTACTGTACTCCAGTGCAAAAAAAAAAAACCCTTGTATAATAAAATTTCATAGAATTGTTTAGCAAAAGAACAGCAATGTACAACACAAGTGATGATAAAACACAGGCCCTAACAACCTGTTGGTTTACACTTGGTGGAATTCCAATGAAAACTACACTTGAGAAGACATTGGATCAAAGCAAGACCACAAACTTCAATTTACATGAAGCTGTAACTGAACTTGCTAAAAATAACATCTACAGCTTAGTAGTAGTATTCATGGCTTATACATGCAAATATTTAGACTGGAACATGCTAAAACTCTACATCTGAACCAATATTGTACAGGCAGATTTATGAACTGTGCCTGTCTCAGTTTCATTCAGTGGTTTCCATGAGCCAAATTTAATCTTGATATAACTTCGTGGAGCTACACTGGGATACATTATTTATATTATTAATAAATAATTCACAGTAAGTAGCTGTGCTCAGGAAATACTGTTTAGATGATTTAAAGTGTGCTTAGTTGCATTGAAAAATGTTAACGTAAACCATAAGGTTGCTCTAAGTACCCAAATAAATTTCAGTTGGGGGGGGGGGAGGGGAGACAACTATAGATTTTAGAGACAATAAGCAGAAACTGTTTGCTTTACATTTTGAATTCACAAAAAGCATCAGTGCAAGGCTTTTATTAGTCTTAATATTTAACTTTATGAAAACTGGATATAAATTTGAGATTAATATTATAGACTTACCAAGTTCTGCTAAATTGCCAAATGCAACAAGGCACATCTCTGTCAGAGCTGCATTTTGGCAATGAATACCCAACAATTTCACTAATGTAGGTATAACACCCATATTGATAAGCTGTGACTGCAGGGTATCTACATAAAAAGAAAATACAACAGTGAGTTAGCATTTCTGTTCGTAGTACCATTCTTTAAACCAAAAAAGCATTTTTCACACAATGCAACTTCTAGGCTAAGCAGCATTACAATGTCTGTCTCCTCTACTATTCTACAGCAGAATTTGGTCCAGACTTGAGCTATAGACTCATAATTTCCCCTGCCTCTCGCAATGGATGTGTTCCCAGAAATATTCCCTCCTAATCTGGTCATAGGGTATAGTGAATTATGCAGCTACTGATAATTTTTTGGTTATCAGGTTGGGTTTCATTCTGAGCTCACTGAGACTAGCTGACTGAAATCAAACAAAACTATGTCAATGAAATAATTATTTGAGAGCTTGCTCCTATATACTGTTTTCCCTTAAAGATCAAAACTGGAAAATTAAAATTAGAATGAATATAAACTCGCACTGAAATAAACATGAAAAGTTTTATAAACACAGGAAGTCACAATGTAGATTATGAGGAGCTTGAGAAAAAAGAAAGTTTAATAAGGACAAAAAATGGAAGGTTTAAGAAGAGTCTTTAGAAGCCATTCTGATAATTTCTTGCATAGGATGAAAGCTTATAGTATTTACAAGTAAGAAAGTTATTGCTCCTAGATGTCTGCAAATAGAAAGATGCTTTGATGGTTAGGCAGAGACATGATTGTTTTAAAAGATTATTTATAATGATATTTTCTCTTACACATTTTACCTATAACACAGCAAAGAAGAAAAACATTGTTTCACAGTTGAATAGAATGAAGCAGACATGAACACACCAGATGTTGTTTAGTAATTTCCCTAAGCATCTTTTTTCCTTTGTTTCTAAGCACTTTAACTATGTTTAAATGTTACAGACTTCAATGAAGGATCCAAAGCCCAGTGAATTCAAGAGAACGGAATTACTTCATTTAGCTTTGGGTGAAGGCCTACAGGGGAATTTAGTATTACTTTTAAAGGAATTCATTCTGAGCAACTGAAATCAGGTGGAGATTTTGTATTTCTGGAATCAGAGCCATAAAAGTTGCAAATTTTACAGGGAGATAAAAGCATTTTACATCTTAAGTCTAGCAAATTTAGTATCATCTCATGCTCTCGGAAAAATCTTTGCCTTCAAGATTCTGTCAAGAATGCTTTGAAATTTTCATATAATAAAAATTATGAAGAGATTCTGGAATGTTTAGTTCATTTATATTCAGTGTTAAATACTTTAGTAATGATGATCAGTTTGGTACACTAAATAAGTAACTGGCATGGTTACTACAGGTTACCGGGGATAAGCAGGAATCCTTATAGCTTCACATTGTTAATAAAACTGTATTACTTACCAGTAACTGAATTTCTTTTTTTTTTTTTGGGGGGGGGGGAGGGGTTACCTCTTCCACAGATTCGTGGTCTTTAGAGAAATTTATGAGAACGCCATGTCAGACATCAAAGAGCTGTTGAAGTTGTCAAATTTCAGGTAAGTACAAATTGCACTAGCGCATGCATTGAATGCCATTTTACCTCCAGCAGATGTGTGAGTCACTACCACACCCTCCTACTTTGTTCCCAACTGACTGTAAAAAGCTCTCTCTGAATAGGAAAATCAGGGAGGGGGTAGATGGAATGGTTCTGTGGAGAAAATGATCATGTAGGAGAACTCGAGTTACTGGTAAATAATCTGGTTTTGCCCTCGGTTTGTGATTGTCCCCTGCAGGCACTTAAAAATTTTGAAGGAAAAATGGTAGTCATGGAGAGTAGGAGAACAAAGACACAAACCACAAATGCCATAGAAAATGATGTGGAAAGAAACTGCTTTGTTACTAGATTATGCCTTTAGTCACTCTAAAATCACTTTGTCCAACTGTAATGGACAAAGAAACAATCTCTATGGGCTTCATTTGGCAAAACGTTCTGACATCAGAAGCATAAACTCTATTTTGAGCAGGTTTCATTTTTTTTCTGCTGTCTCTTTCTGAGTACAAAATATATGAAAAGAGCAGAGGAGAAGACAAGTAGAAAAAGGGAAACCATATCCATCTTTGAAATATAATAGGAATTTTCAGAGGCAAGTAGAAGGATATATTGTTGTTCAAGAGCGCATGAGCGCACTGATTAAAGGGCCTCTAGAATTCCCAAGTAGGAGAAAAGGAAAAAGAAAACAGAGCAAGAAAGATCAATTGTACTGGGTCAAAAGTCAGGTATTATACCTGACTCTGTACCTCTCATTTGCCTGGACTGTAAAAAGATGGCACCTAAGCACAGGAATGGTCTACAGTGGTAAGAACGGGATTATAGGAACTGCCAATAAGGTAAATATCGATGCTTTAACAGCAGTAAGTGAAAGGATAGATTTTCTCTTTTGCCTAGGTCAGGACCAGTCTCCTAGTCACAAAGCTGCACAAGAGGCAAAACCTTCAAAAATAAAAGGCTGCCAGGGGCTACTTGCGATGTTTATTCCTAAACACTGGCTTGGCCATACGAATTCTGTGGTTGTCATTTTCATCTGTCATTACCACCAGTAAGAGGCTCTTTCTCTAGTAAATACAAAAGCAAAGTCAAATAAGAGGAAAATGTTAGGCTTCTCACTGGTATGGAGACCTACAGAACTTTTTAGTTCAGAGAAATTAAAACCATCTAAGTGGTTCAGTCTTAGCTGAAGGGACTGCCAGCGGTTCTCTGGCTGTCCTGTGAAAGACCGCAGACTGGGTAACTTGGAATAACTGCGTGCCTCAGTCTTTCTCTGCAGGAAGTGTTAAGGCCCTACTAGAGCATGAGACAAATTCAGGGGCCACATGCATCCATCCTACAAGCAGTTGCCTGGCACAGGACTAAAGTGAGCCATGAAGCCAGGCAACATCATGTCTCGGGATGAAACAAGCATTTCTATGAGCTTCCTAAGCAGAACTTTATGCATAGTGAGCAGGAAGCATGAAAACCAAATGCCTCTTCTGAATTTATGACTGAAAGCCACAAAAGAAACTCTCACAAATTTTACATCGCTATCACACGTTGCACTAGTAAGATGCCTCTGTGTTCTCTCTGGGTGAAAAGCACTGACAGTGATGCTGTACAGATGCATAAACAGGTAGATAAAAGGCAATCAATACATGCGCCAGCACAAAGAATTACCTACCGAAAACTTGAATTTCAATGGCTCCATGTCCTTCGGTGACACACATGGAAGCTCCAAAGAGTAAGATCTGGGGAGAATATCCCAAATTGAGAACTTTATTGGGGGCATTTGAGTTTAAAATGCCGATTTAGGCTAGTTCATGATTTTGGACAGAATTTCAGAAAACAAAAGTCATTTTGTGTTTCATCAGTAACTGTGATTATAATGCTAAAGGAAAATTTATTTTGTACAAATTGGTGGCATAATTTCATACCCTAGAGAAACCTGCTTGTGATCCCCACATCTATGTTAAATCATCATATAGCATAAGTAATTGTTTTGATTATCTTACTATCATAAAAAACATACTTTTTATTTGGTCTTACATGCTTTAGGTTCCTTTGCATTTAAGTATACTTAGGTCTTGAAAGCATGCTAGACATCTTTAGCTTTGGTGTAAATGAAACAAAAACCATGGCAAGCATGAAAATCAGCAAAGAGAAGTCTTAGAAAGAAGCTTTACTGAAATATTGCTGTTAGACCATAATAATGGTGCCATAAATCTCCCTTTCATTTCTTTTGCATTTACATAGCTTCTGCAAATACTAAACAGTGCAAATCAGTCCCCAACATTCATTCCAGTCACTAACAGCTTTGTGAGAATAAGAAGGGCTTGGCAGTTGTACGATTTGACATCAGAATGTTACATCTCACAAAGGCACCGAACAAAAGACGACCTTGACAGACTGAAGTTTAATATGAAATGAGATGAGGAAGCAATTATAAACATAATTATTTTTATCTACATATATGCACCCATGTATAAACATATGCATACTTTCACACATGCATGCTGTATCCAGTAAACTTCTGATCTCCAATTTGACTACCTAATAAACCAACTGGCTTAGTTCTTCCATTATTTCTGCATTTCTTTAAAAATGCTTTTGTGGTTTCTTTTATAAATCTCAAGAGACAATTAGTTACCTTATAGACTGAAACCATTAACCTGTAAATAGTCTTGGCTCACAGGATTATGAGATCTGCAGAATCATAGAACAGTTAGGGTTGGAAGGACCTTAAGATCATCTAGTTCCAACCCCCCTGCCATGGGCAGGGACACCTCCCACTAAAATAACTATTCATGTTGCTCTTTCACATGAGTATTTGCATATGATTGTTAGTTTTATTAGATTATTTATTAGATTAGCTTTTCATTCTTTTATCCAAGTCTGCTTTGCCTCTTGCTCTTAAGCAGATTCATAGCTACACACAGACTATACATAACAGTCTTCAGAATGGGAGAAGCACGACAATGTACTAAACCCCCTTAAAGGTGTCGAAACAGCAGCTTTAAGCCAAATAAAGTTTGCATAGCTTGTCAAAGAAGGAATTATTCTAGGGTTTTGTCAAAACCTTCTTTTGGTTTTGCTTTAGTTTGCTTCTGTTGGGATTAAGCTATGAGCAAAACCATGCATAAACGCGTGTGACATGTGTGTTTCATTCCTACCCATACCTGCAACTTTGAATTTTAAGAACTAATGGACAGCAGGAATGAGCTACTTGTGCCAGATTGAATTTGGATAGTAAAATATGATTATCACAGAGAGGGTAAAGATAATCCCGGCTGAAGACAAAGGGACGCATCCCATCCAATAAAACCCTCTGATTTTTAGCAATGCAATTAAAAATTGACACTTCCTTTTTTTTTAGGCTTAAAAGAACTGCGAGAGATGCCAAAGCCAAGTTTGTTCTGTTCACATTGTGTAGCCGCTAATGAAATAAAATACCAAGGAGGCAAAGGGAGAACAGAGAGACAGCAGGCAAAAATAATTCCTGAACACAGCAGATGGCATAAGAACCTTGTCAAGAGAATCTTAGTTTTAAAGCTCAGATAACAGCATCATAAATGTAGTTACAATTCAAGCTGAGTGTCCAGAATAGGGACAAGATACAAGAATGCTCCATTAACTTGCTCAGTTTAGGAAAAGCTGCTCTTTAGTTGCTGGTTTTGTAAAAACTTGTGCGACAAATCCCTATGAAAATTGAAAAACTTAAAAGTACTCAAAACAGAGTGTCTCAATGTTAAAAAAATTAGGTAGTTGATAGCTATTATAAAGTATTAGCTATTGGAAAAAGTGGGCAATTAGCTGACTGGGAATGATGAACTGTTTAGAATGAAATAAAACAACTTAGATACTCCTTGATTGTAAAATGCTAAGGACTTGCGGTGTTCAAAGGTAACTAGATGCAACTAAGAACCCAATGTGCTTTAATTGTCCTTATCTGGATAGCTAGTGCAACTAATAAGAGCACGAGTCATTAAAAGTGGTAAAGAAACCTTCAAAGTCCCCGCTTGTAATTTTGTAACATAGCATGCTAAGCGGGGAAAGATTACAGAAACAAGAAAAGAAGGTAGAAGTGCTATTTCAAAGGCTAAAACTTCCACCTTACATTTCTAATATTTTTTCTTCTGTCTAATTTGTTTCCATAACTACAGACAAAGCAATCTGGGACACTGGGCTGCCATCCCATACTCCTCATCCTTCAGCAAAACCAAGGCAGTGTTTACCTTCTTTGTAAGTAACATGGGATGAAGTCTTTTAAGTGAATCTGCTAACCTGGAGCACAGGTAACTGTCGGGGCAATCTGAGTTTAAGTCAGTAATGAATTGCATTTACTCAGAATATTATCCATCTGATGCTGCAATGCATGGAAGCAAGTGGTTGTCCTGGGCTCACATGTGACACTGACTGTTGTCTTGGAAGTTTACAATGGTCCACAGGTGATATTTTTAGAGCAGATCACAACTATGGTCCAATTGTACTTGCAGCTCTTATGACAAAGCTGGCAAGATAGGTCACCTGCCCGTGTTGCCATTCACATGCTGCAGGTACGGCCACTGAGATCTCTTCCAAAAATTTAAGCCTCTGACTCACTATTTATTTATTTATTTTTTTTTTGATTTGGCAGATTATTTAGGGTTTAATTCAGTGGTTGTCCAGTCAGTGACCCAGTTTACAATGAAACTAGAGGACACAAGTCTTACACAGCATACCCATGGGTGCTTGGCCAAAGAGGAGCTGAGTCCCCACCAAAAGGCCCTTTTTGATGGATGGAGAACACCAAATATGTGGGGTAGGGAAAGGTTTGGTAAGCCCCCAGTATTCCTCCCTGACATGGTGGTAGGACAGGGTAGTGTCCTGTGTCTTCCCAGGCCCAGGAGTTGGAAATACTTCAGCATTTCTCACTTCTGACACTTATTCAGTGGCTCCTGTGAATATTGCATCAGTTCATTAGTTTGTGTGAGATGAAAGATGTTGTTTAGCAGAGCAGAGAGCAGCTAGTGAATCCTCCTAGTTGTCACTGAACTACACAACTGCTTTATTGATTGCATCAGAATAAGCTGTCTTGCTAGATGGAATAAGTCATATATTCAATGTTCATAACACTTATACTGTTCAGAAACTGCTTGTTTGGGAGATTTATCTCATAATTGTTTTCATAGGGAAGATCTGTGGGGAGTTTGGTCACCGAAGCAAAACTGATTCACTACCTCTACACAGCATTTTTGGACTCTTGTGTCTTGAGCTACCAAATATACTGGATGCTTACTAGTTCTAATTAATCCAGATGATTCTGAAAGTGTAAAGGTGAGAATATCTATTTGCTCCAAATGCTTTAATGAATAAAGAAAACAGGGAGTTAACACTATGAAATATGATAAAATGTGACACTCATGCAGACATCAAGCAAAACAGTTCCTGAAAACCATATGAAATAAAGGCACTAGAAAGCTGCTATTTGGAGGAGAAGGAAGAAGTGCTGTAAAGAAGTATTCTTAAATAATACCAGTGAAAGAGGAGAAAAAAGGAATGTAGGAACAAGAGATGAAACACATGCAACAGTGGTATTTGGAAGTGGGTAAGTAACACTAAAAGCTGAGAGCTCCAGAGAATTGCCACAGAAAACACACAAGGAAAATATGCTAGAAGAGATTATAAAGCAGATAAAAATGTATACAGTAAAGGTAAAACCAACAAAAAGTTAAGCCTACAGACCATCCTGAAAAGTAGAAGAGTTTGGGGGACACAGGTTTGGAAAGTGAATTACAGAAAGCGGTTACTTTAAGAAAATGGTGAGCAGCTAATAAAGAAGCTATTTCTTCCTAAGATAACACTACAATTCAGGAAATGGGCATGACTGAAGAAAGAATGTAATTAGCTAACTACATTTGCAATCTGTGCCGTTTCAAGTCAGGAGAACAGCCTCTATTTAGCTTTCCTCATTTATCCCAATTTTCTCAGAGATTCAAATTTTGAAAAACTCAGAAATGTGTGAACACTGTAAAATATGCCTTGGCATATTACAACGCTTGTGTACAGAAGCCAACTGTATACTAAAATATCAATATATTTGTACAACTGGTGTAGAACTCCCTTTTTTTACCCTCAATGGTCAAGGACTTCTCATTTAAAATACTATCTTGTGTTTTTGTCCCAGTCTCTAAACATCTCCATTTCATGGGATAAAGAACACAAACTTGTAATTTGTAGACACAGAACACTGTTGAACATACACATAAATTATTCCTCATTTGTCTAAGAAAAAGTGATGTGGTTTTATATACATTTCACATGGAGAAAAATGACTAAGGAAAACTGCTTGGCATACATACCCCCAAATCATCAAGACAACGCTGTATGCCTGCAGCAAATTAACCTTATGGTTGTGCTTAATACTAAATGAAAAAGAAAGGACTTAATGTAGCCTTCTAGTTTACTTCTGTAAATCTGTTTCTTCCTAAGGCGTGTGATACATCTCCCTGTATTGTTTTTAGACAAAGCAATACATTTCAGATGTTGACTTTAGAACTTTATACAATACGTTATATGGAATTCCATCAGGAAGATATCTAGTATTTAGGGGAATATAATTTTAATTGAACAGAAAATTGCATACATGAATTGAGGTACTTGATCTTTTCAGAATAACTTAGTGTTAGTATCCACAGTGTAAACCTACAGTTGACTTTAACTTTTATTTTATCTCTTTCTTTGATGGGGTTGTTCTCCTGGTAGACATAAAGCAAATTTTTGGTGTTGTTTACCATTCTCATTGCTATAGTTCATCAGCATGCCACAAAAGACAGTCAAGAGCTTCTCACTGGCTGGATCTGTTTTACTGCACAGTGACCTTATATGGTCTACTACAATATGTGCACCACCTGCATGGTCAACTGCGTTCCTGCCCTCATCTGTAAAACAAAGAGTTACATTAAAAAAAAAATGAAACCAAAACCCATTGTAGAGTCCCGAACACAACAGTAATCATATAAAACAAAGGTTTTAAACAGAGTGAAGTCATTCTCCAATGTTGTCAAATTCACCTAGAGAGATGCTTGAGGTCCAGCTTTTAGTGCAATAGAGCTAGGAAAGTGAAAACACCTACAAGAAAAGGGATTAACCACCTGGCACTAATACCTTTGTAAGGAAGTTCTGTGTTTGAGGCAGAGCTACTGGAGCTGATAAATAATACTCTGAAGATATATTGGGTTTTGCCAGAGGGAGGTTCTCAGCACTTTACAAAGCCTAGTCCATACACCCGTGTGGACCAGGTAAAGTGCCGTTATGCAGGTCGAGAAATTGAAATATAAAAAACCCGACTGCTTAAGTTACTTAAAACCAAAATGGGTGATAGACAAAGTAAACAGGTACTAATTTTCAGTCACAAACTCTGTTCAAGCACTTGTTCTGCCATACTGCATGTTCCTTGTACTTCTATACCTGAAATTTAATACCTCTATCAGCTTATTTTGTATAGCTAAAAGAAAAATTTGCTCTGCATCTCTAAGGTGTCGTTCTGAGGTGTCGTAAATAACACACCGTAATCTTTATATGGAACTCTTTCTGTATAACAAATCAGATTTGATATATTGGTTTAGGAATAAAGGAAAAATTGGTCTTCTATTACAATAATCGACAATACTGCTTCCTTTCTCAGCAGGTAATCAGCAACAGAAAACAGTCAATAACATAAATTCCAGGGCTTGCAAAACGAGATATTTCCAAGTGAGTTACAGTGGGAATCAACTGGAAAATCTGGACGAAAACAAACCTTGGGGGAAAAATATGATTAAAGCAAAAGTTTAGCAAAATAAGAAGAAAAAAACCCACCTCCTCTCCTCAATTTCTTAATGGCCCCAAAGCAAATCTCATCTTTCCTTTGTTATTCACTACTCTGTCGTCACTCCTCTCTCTCTCCATCACATACAGGTCAAGTTACCAAGTTTTCTGCAATGTGTTCAGTATGAGAACCAAGGTTTCCCACATTTATAATATGATCTTTCACTTAAAAGTGTTCAAGAGCTCTCCACAAAGAAGTTTCTAAATCTTCCAATTCTTGTTAATACTATTTATGAGGCATATATACCCTTTACCTACTACAGATATACAAAATGATTACAAATACTGTATATAAACCTACATTGTATATATTCATAAATAGAAAAATACACATATATAAGGGGTTTATATAGGGACTTCAGATAATTTGCTGAGTGGAGCTGAAGGAGGAAGGCTAATTCTTGGTGGATCTTACTGTTTTGGTAAAAAATTTAATAGTTTAGTGTTTTGCAGAATAACTGAGATAGATATATGCAGCAGAGGAAAACCATCTCTGCCATGACTGTCTCTGCCTTGGGCATGACTGTGACATCAGGGGACCGTGTTTCACTGCAGGTATGTATATTCCATTTTGAAAAAGGAGAAACTGAAATCTGTTTACGGTCAAAAAAAATCAAGCTAAGATTCTGTGTCAAGGAGGAACTACTAAAAAAGGAGAAATATAAAAGAAATAAATCTCTCGCATTCTTGATTCAGTGACAAATGTAGGTATAATGCTGACATGAAAGTAAGTCCTACACCAAAATATAGTGAGACAATATAGTCAGGTGTTCAGATTCAGTGCTTATGTTTACCAGTCAGCAGAGAAAACAATAAACTTGGCTGGAATATTCCAGTATCCTGTTTTATGCATCCTTCTCTTGCATTTTTTTTAATTTCAAAAGTTATGCAAATAATGGGTTTGTATTTGTCTCACCTGCTTTGTGAGTCAAAACAGGTGTGCAAAACAAGTGAGTCACTAATTCTGGATCCAACGGACTGAATCTGGTCCTCAAATTAGATAATGCAATTCAAATCAACAAACTAAACCCATGATAAAATTAAGCTTAAGATAAGAATTCAGGTGTTGAGCTTGATCCTATGTCTTGGTATGGAATTGCATATAAAATAAGTAAGCAAAGGATAGTACAATGGTAGAGTTGGGTGAGGGTTTGGGAGCAAGGTTTAAAAAAAACTAAAAGCCAATTACAAGCCACATTCCTTACCTGCATCGAATTTGGCACAACTCCACTGAAAATAATTGTGTGATTTTCATTTGTTGTAAGATACTAACTTGTACATCCTTTTACTTCCTTTCTCTGGTTTGTCAAAGAAGTTACATATCAAAACCTGCTGTATCTTAGGTACAGAATAGTCTCTCACTTCAAATACATGACAAAATTCTTATCCACACAGTATTTTTGTTAGATTGATAATCAGCTTCCACTGTACAGACAGCAAAAGTAAGGCAGAAAGACTCAGAAACAAATCTCATTTCAAGATATGTCTCTCTGTCTCTGTAGTATGCTCAAAAAGTTAGGGTTAAATGAACTTCATCATCCCTCCCAAGTAGGTGGCAGGCTGTAAGTGCCAGACTTTGATGTAAATTCGTAAAATTGAGTTTGTTGCTCTACCTCTTTCCCATGCTACAGCTCACCCTGTGTAGCTGTTCTCTGCCCTAGGAAGCTGGGTGAAGAACAGACCTGGGCTAGAACTGTAATTAGGATCTCCGGTTGCTGCCTTCTTATGCCCAAGAGGATTAACTCAGCTCATTAGCGCAGGGCCACAAAGAATCCTGTACCAGATGTAGGAGGAAAATTCTGAAGAGCTTGACTACCTGCTCCAAGCTGAGGCTATGACACTCTGTTGCATCCCCAAGCAAAAAGTGTACTTCTGACTCAGAACGCTCCATGTACTTGTTACTGACTCGCTTCTCCCTGCTCTGTCGCTAAGAAACAGATCTTGCACACAAGAATACTCACCAAACTCCAAATCATTTACAGTCAAAACAAGACCACAGCATGTTGCTGTTTCTTGTACTCAATCCAAGCATTACCTTCCAGTTCAGCAGCTCTGTGAACTCCCACACTTAACGTGCTTCCAGCCTCCCAGAAGCCATGTTGAGGTTTTTTCGTGTGACCTTTTTAAATAAACATTTGCTATTCCTAAGAGATCAGTGATTGAACAGTTTAATGAGAGCATTCACATTTCTATTAAAAATGCTTCCCAGCAGCTCACAAAGGGCAATGCTGTTGTATAGCTTTTTTTTCTTTTCTTTCAGAACACATAATAGTGTTTAAAGATGCCAGAATGACAACCCAAGACTGCAGGGACTGTTCTTTTCCCCCTACAAAATGTACGGTAAGATTTATTACAGAATGAGTTATTACTTCCACAATGTTCTTTCTTTAGCTGGGATGCAATGCAACCATCTCTAAGAAATAGTACAGTCTCTTTTTCTATCCTGAGTTGCTCACAGGAGTTTTATGCAAGGCTGTGTTTTAATGTGGATCATCAAATTACTTTGACTGCTCATATTCTCCCTATCAACAGTCTCATCATATTTCCCTGTGGCTCAGCCATGCCTACTCCAATGGAAGCCCAAGTCAAAGATCAATTTTTTTAGTGTATATGACTGGCAGGTCTTCAAAATGCAGCACTTAGAGTAGTTTCAATCTGCTTTTCCCAAGATGTATTTGCATAGTTTTCCTTTGAGTTTTCTTCCCAGTTTACTAATTCCTTAACCAAACCACTCTGTCCTAAAAGGTTAACAAGAAAAAAGGATTAAAGCAACAACTTTAAGTATGAAAGCAAAGTGTAAGTTATATACAGCCAGTGAGTTATTTCTAAACAATATGTACCAATACTTTGATTTTTGTCACGACTGTAAGCTTATTATCTGGAAATATATCAGGCAAAGAGCCGTGCCATAACAGAGCAGATAAGAGAAAACATTTTTGCAAACAGCTCACCTTGTGATCTTTAATCCAAACCTTAAATTAGCTTTGTTGTTTTCATACTGGGCCCTTTTCTTAATATAAAATTTTAACTCTGTCAATCCCAGTGATATTAAAGAAGCATATGCATCTCATAAAGATAAGGACAAAAATGTTTCTTATCCATGTTCTGTTAGGATATAGAGCTGTGTCTTCACAAGGAAAAAAACAAACAAACTACAGTTTTAGACAGTTCGAAACACTCATGTTTTACCCAATTTTAGTTAAGTTTTAAAATATAGCAGTCTGGTTCCTCTGTTATTCTGAACTTTAATGCTTAAACTAGAGTTCAGAAGTCATTTCAGAAATGTCCCTGGGCCTGCAAAAATGCACACCGTTATTTAAATGTGTATATGGTGAGTAAACCCACCAGCTAGTAAAAATTAGGTAGGTGTCTCCAATTTTGGTAATGACGATAACACAGCTACTTAAATAATGACTGAGTAAAAGCACAGAAAATTATGTTTGGGAGAGTCATATACTGTATGGTTGTTTGAAAGCCTGTCCAGTTTTGTTTTGTTTTGTTTTTTCACCAAAAAAGGTAAGGTATGAACACTCTGTATTAACTTTGCCTATCATATCTTACATCATGATGGCCATAGTGTCTCTGCCCACTCTCCCCAACAATTCTTTACTAAATCTTTGTTACCGAATCTTCATTCTAAAATACGAATTTTGTTTTTCACAATAAAATGTCATATGTACTGGCATTTCTCAGTAGGGGCACTCAAATTGCTCTAATTCATTCCGTATTCTTTTGCCAGTTCATGTTCTACACAGGTTTATTGGTGTACATAGTTGCACTGACATAAATGGTGCAAGTCAGTGAGGGAAAGGATGATTTATATGATCAAGGTCCCTGATTTGCACAAACAGAGCTGCCAAGACAGCAGCTTTTGGTGACATGAAAAAAAAAAAAGTATTTGTTTTAGCATTCTTTTACTCTGCAATTGGGTAAAACAATGAAATGATTTAAATTATACACTGCCGGTTTACTTTTAAGCTCTTCATCTTTATTTCATTTGGATACAAACCTGCATTCTTTTTCACCTAGGTGCTCTGTGGGTAACTTGATGAACTGATTTACAGTAGCCCAA